GTCAGGTAGGTAATAGTCATAAATAAATGGGTTGTCAGATAGGTAATAGTCATAGATAAATGGGTTGTCAGGTAGGTAATAGTCATAAATAAATGGGTTGTCAGGTAGGTAATAGTCATAAATAAATGGGTTGTCAGGTAGGTAATAGTCATAGATAAAGGGGTAATTAACTAGATTTCCTTGAATGGCTTACTTGGTTCTGACAGTAAAATCACCCTAGGCTACGGACAGTCATTTTTCTACAGTTTATTATTTTGATCTAGTCCTTTAATAATTTTGAAACAGAAGTATGTAAGAATAGAATTTGTTTGATACAAGCCAATGTTCAGGAGATTTTAAGTTCAATATCAACACTCTCATCAGTTGACGTCGACCATGGCTGCTAAAAGTACGTCTGATAAGCTATATTTATTCAATTCAAGAAATGTATTGGTTAGGCATTTTACAGCACTGTAGTGATATTCGGTATGTAAGTGAACTCGTATGTTGTTGAAGAAACACAGAACTTGTAACTGAAACAACACATTATTATTTTTTAAAAAAAGTTAATCAAAACAGGCTTTCCACAACGAGGCTTCTTTGCAAACATAAACACGACACCACCTGATATCTTTATATATATATGCTTATATTTCTGTCGCTAACCCATGTTTCTTGCACGCTGTATGGTTAAGTAGTTTTGTGACCTTTACACATTATCTGTGATAGTTCATGTTTTAACACTAAATCTCTTCTCACATCGCTTCAAGGAATTGAATGTATAAAAGTTCTAAGTAAACCATCAAGGAAACGATTTAAGATGATAATAAATGTATCAAAGCGAGTCTGAAGTTTCGTGTAGCATACAAGAGTCCAGTACTCTTCCCAAGTCATTACGCAACTCGTTCAGTTATTTCTCAAGCTAGGTGTATTAAAGTCACACAAGAAAAGTGTTTTTGAAGAAGATTATTCTTCAGTTGATAAAATCAGTATACTTTAAATTTCGCTGTAACAAGAACAAGACCGTTATTCTGTTGAAGAAACAACAAAGACTGCTCTTACTTATGATAAATTAGAAGACACATTAGTTTAATCTAAATATACAGATCCACGTTGTTTCCATTTAGTGTTTTTCCTTTGGTCTTAACTAATGATAATTTTTACTCTTAATTAGAGTGAACGTGTATGTCAAGAATTAAGATAAGTCTTATAAAATCAGAAAACTTGTTTCGTGTTTGTTTTCCATTTCACGCTACGAAATTGTTTTAACAACACAGTTCAACTGTGATATTTCAAACATATTAACAGAAAACGTGACTTTTGGTTTACGTACTTCACAAGATCACAACGACAACATATTTTGGAGTATGTATGTGTGATAGAAGCTTGATTCCAAAATTCGTATGGTTCAGGCTGTTAAGAGGTCTATAGAATTTTAAAAGGTCAAGTGTTTATATTTAGTATTATCTAGGTCTCTGGTAAGAATGACAGATTCACTAACACCAATACTGTTTAGATATTTGGTTTTAAGTCATAATATTTTTTAGGTTTATGAAAAATACGTGTTTGTTCAATATTGTAATCTTTTGTGCCTATATCAATGTTAACATTTTCAATCTTGATTGGTTTGTTTGTTTTTTCTACGGTTTTCCAATCATAACCCCACATCAAGCAATTTTAAGACTTTAATTAAATAACTAAATATATATATATTAGTTTTCCTGGTTCATGATGAACTATAAATCTTTTTTTCAATTTTTTCTCCGGGAGAAAGCTACATATATTTCAACCTGATTACCGGAATGTTCCGTTCTGCTGTATACTGGGTTGTTAGGCGGTGAAATATAAAAATATCTAACGGATAACTGTAGAGGGCGCTATTGTGCATAACGTCGGTTGAATCAACTTTGAAATACTGGATTGAAAATAGAATCAAATTCTGATTACTTATTTTGAAAGAGCGAATGTTTTACCTGTTAACCTCACTAAGTAAAGATGTGAATAAAATAATCGAAGCAGTTAATAAAATACGACAACAAAATGAAGTAAAACCTCAGGACCCTCAAACCACTAAATGTCGCCCATGAGAAAGTTACATCCCAACTAGCAACAAGTCTAGAATAAACTGAATTCTGACTTTAATTTGCAGTATCAAAACGCCCCCTTTTTTAGCACACACCACGGAAGCGTGTCAAAATATTAAGAGGGTGATGTATTCAAAAATACAGTTCTACGTTTTAAATATATCATTGTTGAATCAGTGACCCAAGAAACTGAGGAGGTAGAGAGACATAGCAGCTGGAGGACCTGTGAGAGCCATGTTTTACAGAAAACAAGATAATACCAAATATTAATACAAATAATTAAATGCTTACGCAGTTGTAAATCGTTTAATGATAATATTATGAAAGTGAAAAAAAACAACAACAACACAAAGTACAAACATCAACTTTTACAGTTCGTTAAGCCTTACTAAAGTAAACATACCGTACACAATATATATGATATTAAAAGGTAGCATTTTATGTAAAGATGAAGAAGACTATGGATGTTACATTAAAAACTCTAGTATGTGTGAGGCTTGAGTTTTAAAAGGTGTTGGAAATGTCTCTGTCTGATTTAAGTGTTCATTGAAGATTTCCTTAAAACTAAGACGTGTGCTGAACCCGTCTATCCGAATAATGAAACATTTAACGACAGAACAGAATGACGTCAATGTACAACTCCCTACAAAGATCGTTTTGCACAGATTACAGTAAACTAAACTCGTTAATCCCCAAACATATTTTAGTTCGAGCATAAATCATATATTTGTGTTTACCGTCAAATTTCAGTTCTTGGGTAATTTTATTTTCTAGCCAAACAATACTAGTATTTACATGTTCGATGACGAGGAACCCACTTTGAGACTAATAATGGCTGGAGACGGCTTGAATGGGTAATGAAGAAAAACTTTAATATAACAGCAAATGTACAACGTTTCGTGGTACCTGATGATGACAAAACCT